CCGATCTGCACGACACCCTTACCCTGAAATTTACACAGCAATAGCGTGACAGGAGCTGAGAACGGTCCCCAGCTTTCCACCTCCTCAGCGCCTTCAGGGCCCCCTCCATACAAATCACTCTGCCGGTCTCACGCAGGCGGAACATATGTGCAGAAGGCAAATCAAACGCTGGAGGTTTTTTTTGTTTTTTACACTAATCAAAGGACCGGGCGGCCGGGCTCTCCCTTTAATACGGCGCGCAATGAAATACCCCCAACTTCCTAAAAATGTGGTTCAAACCGCTCTGTGCTGCTTCACACGCAGCGCAACCCCCTGCCACCCACCCCCGCACATCATTCAAGGTGAACCCACTGAGTCGGGTGCTTTGGGGTGATGCAGGCGGTATTGCAGCGCGATGGAACTGACTCGACACTAAGCTGCCTCCCACCCCGCTTCCCCCAGAATGGGCTGCGTAGGGGTAGTCAGATTGCACCACTGGGGGGTGGGGAGGGGGGCGAACTGGAGCTGTTCACATATAGCCTGTGGAAAGGACTGAGAAACCCGTGGCTTTCGGCCACGGTTAAAAGAACTCGTCAACCCTCGATTTTGACCTTTAAACATATGTTCCTCCTGCGTGAGACTGCATGATTTAGTTAGTTAATGTCTGTAAAGCGCTTTGAACGTTTAGGGCGCTACAAAGCATTACATGGTGCTGAACTATTAAATGGGTCTGCGGCGGGGGGGGGGCGCTGTGGAGAGATGGGCTACTATTTCGGGTTCATCACGTTCTTAGAAACACACGCGGAGAGCCCATACGCCGTTGTAATAGGTGCCTAATCCCTGTAGGGATTTTAAAAAACCCTAATGGAAATCAGTGTGTGTGGATATACACATACAGAGAGAGAGAAACACCATGAAACCTGCGTGCGTGCGACATCTATATTTGGCTGTCTCATCTACAGCTAGCGACAGCCAGCCCCGTCGTGATTTCCTAATTTCTAGCTCTGATGTTTTGAGATAAAGGGATTCAGTGACGTTTCCACCCTCCCATGTAAATAGGTTAATAAGAGGGTGGACGCTTCTTTAGTGTCCTGGTGTCGAAAATTCTATTTATGAGCTGCCTCGATTCATGTCTGGCTTGATCGCGAAAATAAGAAGCGCTCCTAGAGATGAAAGGGGCCCGGCTGCTTTGCTTGTGCCACGCTCAGGATTCGCGAGTTAGCCCAGCTTTAAGGTCTGCACGCAAAGCTCCCAGCAGCGCTCATGGGGAGTTAGTCACCCACGGATACACGCGAAGTGCAGCCGAGAAATCGGATTCCCCCAGGGTGGGGAGGCACCGGTCATGCTCTGGAGATCAGAGCCGGCCTGGGCGATGATGGCCTGCCCTGACGGGGAGCCGGGCAGCTGGTGCCCAGGATCTGGGCATTGTCCTGCGCTGCCCATGGAGCTGGGTGCCTGTGGTACCCACGGAGCTGAACCGTCGAACTCCGTGCCTGGGAGCTGAACACTGCTCTGGTACCCAGAGGTAGGCACTGCCCCGGGAGCTGGGCAGTGCCCCGGGAGGTAGATGCCCTGGCAGCGGGGTTATGCCCTGCAGGAGGAGCTGCGCTTTCCGTGCGGCCGCCCCGTGCCGTGACACGTATGCGCGCCTGGCACGCCAGGGCTGCCGCCGCTGCCAGCTGGGCTCCGGGATATTGCGTGATGTGCAGGGATCAGCGAGCTGCTGAGGCACACGCAATTCATGCTCCTGCCCCAGTGACCCCGGAGACCTCTCCCTGCTTCCGGGCTGGCGTGCAGGTGCTCTGGGGCGGGAGGAGCAGTTAATCTCTAAACGCTTAGCTTCTGCTTTCCAAGCCCAGCCAAGAGAGTCACGCTATTGCTGGGACGGGCAGTGAGTTCACTAGGGAGGAGGAACACACAGTCTCCTCGTTATCAGGAGAGTGTAACAGCTGGGAGAGAAACCCGCTTACAGCAAACCTAGTGGGAGCTCTGCAGCCTGCTCTCCATCTCCCCATAACTCATAAACTTCTCAATGAAACGTCCCCCAGACCTGCTCAGGGGGAGGGAGCCTTTCTCATTTAGGGATCAGGCTTTTCAAGTCTCTGCAGCTGGTGAAAGAGCATTTTGCTCTGGGTGTGCGTGTGTTCGTTGCACTGAGGGACTGTAAATCTTATTCTATCTTTTAACAATAAAAAAACAACCCTCCCTCATTCAAACTGTTCCTGTTTGGCCACCCTGCTTCGAAGTAACCACGTGTAAATATGCCTCCCTTCCACCGCATATCCTAAGAGGGGAGTTTTGTTAAGAGTTCAAATCAGATCTCTAACAATAAAAGGAGGAAAATTCAGTAACAGCTGCCTTCACTCTGATCGTAACAAACTGTGCCTAAGTACACACTGTGTACACTGCAAAACATCCCCATTTTAGGAGGCACAGTCCCTAGTTTTCAGCAAAACAATTACCATTCCCCACTCTCCGGTAATGCAATCAGTTTAAAAGGGGCAGGAAACTGTGTCTATATTTCTCCCTAAATATTCTTGTCAATGCTGGCATGTATATATAACGAGCTGGGCTCTGAATAAACTTCACCCTGGCTGGGTCCTGAGAGGGGTCAAGCACACCTACAGCTCCTAGGTTGGATCCTGTTCCAATTCAAGTTGATAGCAGAAATTGCTATTGACTTCAATGAATGCAGGATCAGGTCAATAGACTTCCATGGGTGTTGCATCTCTCTATTGGGCTAGCTACATAGTGTTCAGAAGTGAACTAGAACCAGGCAGAAACCCCTAACGCTATATTTCCTTGCTTATTTTAATTCATGCTCTTTAATGTATTTTGAAATTTTAAGAATTTCACCAAATAAACAAGGGTACTTTGTTCATATTTGTAAAAGAAATACATCAAAACTCTTTTGTGGGATCCCTGAATAAATGCTCACACATTGCAGTGCCCACCTGTAGTGTACTGGCAATGCTGTATGCTGAAGTTTGCACAGCAAGTTCTTTCCTTATGGTTATGACCTTTGAAGTCACTGACTGATGTGGATGGTCAGCACTACATGGGCTAGGGGTCCATCTTCAGTTAGTTTAAACCTTAATGTTACCTTAGTGTAGTTTTATGCATATAGTTTTGTGCTAGACATAACTTCTCTTTCATATAGAAATAAACAGAATTAACAAATAATGAATGGGCCACTCACAAATGAAATCAGTTAGATCAACAACATTGTACAATGATTGTCTTATTTTTCATTACAGGAGACTTGCTGCTAACCTTTTTCCAGTTCAGAATTCCAGCAGATGTTTCATCACATATCATGTCTTTGCTAAATAATCAGACCCTCTGCAAAGACAATTTGTCTAATTTAATATAATAGTTTAAAAATGAAAGGACAGTATTGTAAGTGTATATTGCTTATGAAATGAACAACTTTTAAAGATGCAGTCATGAAGCCAGGAGGACGTTCTGTGGTCAAAGCCTCATCCGCAGTACCAGAGAGTTATATGGGTTCACATGAGTGCAGGAACTAGACAAAAGGTCTGACTGACCACAACTGTTTAAAAAAAATCCAGAACAATGACTTCACCAGTGTGTGAACTAAACCCATGGTTTGTTGTGGCAAGGCTTACAAGACACAATAAAATAAAAAGCCCCAGATTCCTGGCCTTGGTGTAGATGCGGGAGGCTTCACATAAAATAAACACAAATGAAAAGAAGCTAGTATAAGATATGAAATTAATTCAATAGAAAGTCATAATAAGAACTCCTATTTTGATTCTCACATCTTTCATTAATTTATTTACTTTTTGTTGCTCTACTGTAAACTCAGACAGATTTCATTCAGGGCTGGCAAAGCAGACAGTTCATATAGAGGGTGAACAGATGTCCTAGTTTACAGGGATTGACCCAGGCTTTAGAGTCAATTCTAGGGTCACAGACAGCTCAAGTGAAATCAGGATTTTCTGTTTTCAATAAAACTGGGTAGGTAGTCAGCTGGTTATCCTCTCCCTGTCCACAACATGTGGTGGGCCTGAATATACTGCTTCTCCAACTGTTGACCACTAATGTTAAATATGGATTAAGGAGTGGAGTGTAGGTCACCACAATCCATCATGCAGCAGTATGGCAAATTCAAAAGTAGCAGATGCTTGAGATGACATAGGTGGGCCCCGCCCCACACACATGGGAGCAACAGCAAAATGCTGTTTTAGATTCAGTTAAGATTCTGTACCTGAGGCGCTCCACAAATCTCTGTAGAACAATAGGGATGGTGGCAGTTGTACTTGATTATTACAGGGGCTTATTAGAAGAGGTGATAAAGCAAAGTCTTGCCTGCCCTTGTTTGTGCCTGTCCAGGTGGAAGTAAAAGATAGTTCTTTTGGAATAGCAAGGGTTAATTCTGGTGTGCTAGTTAACATTTTCTCACTCAATAAAATACAGTAACAAGTTGATAAATCATACCTTTACATCAGCCATGACTCCAGTCATCAGATACAATAGCTACACATAATCATTATTATCTCATTGGCTTTTTGTTTTCTAATATATAAAGCACACATTAAAATGTATTAACTGTTGCACATGTGTTTTGATGGAAGCATGTGCTGTCTCTGGACAACACCCCAATCAGTCTGCAGACCGGGCAGTCTCACTGGATATTATTTCATAACTTAAAGTAGTATATAATTTGCCTCTGCAAACACAGCCACCATCTGTTTGTACACAGTTGCATCACCTCTTGCCCCCCCTTTTCCTTGTTGTCATCATTCACCGGCATTATCTTGGTGGGTGGGGGGGGGGGGAGGAGAATGTGTTCTTAACGTGAGTTAACAAACGAGTGAAACTCCTCGCGAAGAGATGGAGGTTTATAATTTCCACACGAGCAGGAGTTACAGCCTGAGCGAGCCTAGCTTTGAGCAGCTAGATCAGATGAAAACACCCGCTCCCTACTGCCCCCACCGCTACCGCTACCGCTTCCCCTACCTACTCCACACTGCGCTTCTGCCTCTCCGGCTGCCCACTCCCGCCACAGCGTCAGGCTTCTCTTTCGCCTGGCACGTGACTCTCTTCCGCCAACTCACGCGTCGTTACGCCCCTCAATGTTGCGCGGTTGCCGTGGTTACCAGAGAAGCCGTTGGAGTCCCCGGCAGCGCGAGGACGCCGAGGTAAGAAAATGCCCGATCCCCGCCCCCCAACACCCTGCATGTCCCCCTCTCCCCGTGGCCGCTCCTTTTCCCCTCGGGGTCACCCACCCCCGGAGCCCGCAGGGCCCGGTCGGGGTCAGGGGCAGCGCCCTGCGATCCGCTGCGCTCGGGATCGGACCCTGCCGGCGAGGCTCCGCGCAGCTTCCTCGGCCCACGCCGCCCCACTGTGGGCCAGGGCCCCGCTGTACAGACCGGCCCGGGAAGCCGGCCCCCGCCCCACGGCGCTTACAGTCCGGGACAAGGCCGTGGGGCAGTAGGAGGAAGCAGCACACAGGCACCCTAGGCAGCCCTCTCAGCTCACCAGGGGGGCCTTATGCTGCCAAGCTTTTTTGTAGGCATCATGAACCAGGAGAGTTGTCAACAGCTCGGGCTGGTCCCAGCACTGCCCCACGGGGCTAAAGTCTGGCTTCTTTCCACTCCCACTGCAGTCAGTGGCCAAATTCTGCTCTTGTTCTCCCCCACCGTGCCCCACTGAGCTCTCGCCTGCATGCACCAGCTCTATCAAGACAGTGGGACAAGACTGGGCTCTGGCTCAGACTTATGCAGAGCACCACTGAAGTCACTGGGCTAGATTGTGCTCACCCTCATGTCTGTGTCACCCTACTGGCATCCCTGGGTCAAATCTTGCTGATGCCCAACACGACTGCACTGAAGTCAATGAACCAAATTCTTCTCTCAGTTGAGATTGTGTAACAGCAGAGGGGCGAGCGGAACTGTGTTGGTGGAAATGAAGGTGGAATTTAACCTGATATGACTAAATAATGTTAACGTTTCTATAGATGGACTGCTTCCAATTTCATTAGAAACTTTCATTCTTAAATTCATAGATGAAAACAGAACAGAGTACCAGTGGAATAATTCTCATTTGTGGACTAGTCTACACTAGAAGCGCTACATAGGTGCAGCTGCTCTCCCATCCGCATAATTACTCCACCTAGGCGAGAGGTGGAAGCTGTGTCAGCGAGAGAGCAGTTCCTGCAGACATAAACACTGGTGTGGACAGTGCTTAGGTGGATGTAACTTGTGTCGCTCAGGGAGGTGGCTTTTTCACCCCCGAGTGACGTAAATTACTTTGGCTTAAGCAGTAGTGTAGACAAGCCCAGATCCTTTAAGCTGTAGGAGGACAAGAGAGAATGGGGCTATATATGGTGTGTGTAGTTCTGTCTTGTCACTATGTACAAAATGATGAAGCCTTGAGCAGGATTGCAATAAAATAGAAAAAAGTACACATACAACTCCTCTGAAAATGCTGCCCAAGATATTTAAAGTTTCCCCCCCATCCTTGTTAAAATGAATTCTGACCATTTAATCTCCAGGGGTTTTGTGTGGCCCTGCTTCATAAGTGTGCCTGAATTCTGGAAGGCCATGGATCGACATGTTCCTGTGCATCCGTTACCAGAAGAAATCCAAAAGGTAAGAAATATGAGAAATATAACAACATCAGGGGTCAAAATTCTTCAATGACTTATGAATATTTCACAGGTTGGAAGTCATTTACATAGTCTAAAAACGCTCTACAAATACAGCATCTGATCCAGTACAACGATTTCTATGTGCCTATATTTACTGCCATGAGTTTGGGATGAGTGAAGAACAAGTATGTATTAGTCTTCTCAAATGAGTGCCAATAAAAATTGTATACCCTCCAATTCCACTTCATATTTTGTCTTAGTGTATGTGAATGTGGATGTATAAAGATTATTTTTTTTCCTGTTTGAAGTATATTGGTGTGAAGGTAACTGATGTCTTTGGTATGGGAGGAGCTTATTGACACCCACAAGTGGAGACTAAAGTCACTTTTTATAATGGTATGCAGTTTATACTACGGTTGGTAAATAGCAATTTGTGCGGGTTTTTGTGACCACGTGGTATAAATATAGCAAAAGATATACACAAAGTGATTTTAAATCCTATGGTAGTTTTATGATTAACTGTTCTTCTTTATTCTCAGGCAGCAAATGTCTGAAAAAGTGGAAGTTGCATGAAATCTGAATATAATTCCACTTAAGACAAGCTGATTGCTTCAGTATATGTTTTAAATGAAACTCTTCAACCCATGGGACATTCTGTTTTTATTATTCCCCTATTTTTACTGTGTTCATATATACTCAAAATGTGCAAATAGTGCAATTTTCCAATGGGAAATTTTTAATAATTATTCTATGCAGTGCTATTGTAGCCATGTTACACAGAGCTCTCTGTAAACTCAAATGCTTGTCTCTCTCACCAACAGAATAAAATATATTACCTCACCCACCTTGTGTGTCTAATAATTATTCTGCCATTTACTTGTACACATGGCAAGCTGTGTTATTTTCCAACTAAATCCTTGCTTTAAAGTTGACTCACAATAACCTTTTTTTTTGTAGTCTCAGAGTACCTAAAATTGAGGCTTGCTTATAAATAGGACTGTACTGAAATTTGGCTTTGAATAAAGAATTGGATCAGTTTCAACAGAATACATATTCAAAGTTGAATAGTTAGGAGGAAACCTCTCTTTCTCCCTGTAGTCCTGGATGTGTGATCAGCTCAGTCATTTCTTTTTGTCTTGTAAGACTGGGGGAAATTCAGGGTTAGGAGAGAAGGGAACAGGAGAAAGTAGGGGTAATATGTCAGAAAAGGGAGTTAGAGTGACAGAGGGGAGGGGGGTGGAGAATTCAGATGAAGAAGAAAATAATACAGGGGAGAATAAAAAAGTCAGAAAGGAGAAAGAATTACAAAACATAGAACTTCAGGTTAGTAAAAGTTTGTTTTTCTGTTTATATCCATTGTTCAGCTTCTAATACAGTTTTGGATAAATATTGTTTTTTGCTGTTTGGCCAAATACTAAAACTAAACATTCAGTTACACCCCTGCTTGTAGCTTCAGGTCTTTATTTCATTTATGTCAGAATCTATCTAAACCTTTAAAAATCTCATAAAACAGGGGGACTTAGTTGCTGGCCTTTAAGATGAAAGGCCAATATTTCATTATTTTGTAACTGAATATTTCAAATGTAAGTGTTTAGCCCTGTGTTTAGCATTGGGGCACAAAGATCTGTTTCTAAATAAGTAGGTGAATAAGGAAAAAAGATTCAGGTGCATTGGATAGGTTATTTTTCATTTTTTATAAGTACTGAAACATGCAATTCCTGTACTATAGTAACTTTTGTCAGTGGAATCTAAAATATGGGCCAAAGTGGGCTGTATCCCAAGGATCATGTATCATGCTCCTTACAAGTTATTCAGACATCTAGAAATAATTTAAGGTTCCATTCTTGTCATTTCAGAAGCTACTAGCATGACTTATTCAGCTGACTAAGAACGGGTCAGACCACTAAAGCTTTCTTTCTCCTGAGTAATTTATGCTCCCCAGATGTCTACTGTATAGAGTCAGAGAGACATAATATGAATGGCTATCCATCTTGGTTCAGTTCTCCACTTGTCTTTGGTGGGCTAAAAGAAGTTCAGCATAGCCATGGAACACCATTAGTTTTTCAAAAAGTTAATACAGCTCAGAGCTGAATCTACTCCTAGAGATGCTATAGTGTAACAGCTGGAAATGCTGCCCTTCAAAATTATTTATACTTCACAAACTTCTTGTTATGCTTTCATAGTATCTGCTGTTATGTAGATCAGGTCCTTGGCACAGATTCCTATGGGTCAAATTTATCTCTGGTGTCAGCCCATTTTCAATGAATTTGGTGTTATGTTTTTTGTTTGTGATTTGTGCTACTTTGGCTCTTTTAATCTTCAAGAGCTCTCTCACGTATGTGGCTATCAGTGCACTTAGTACATTAATGTAAAGTTAAATAGAACATTTTTAATGTCCATCTATTGGCCATCTCTTGCCTTGATTGCTGTAATCTTTTCTTACCTCCCCTGATCTCCACCACTTTGCCCTCCAGTCTGTTGAAAACACCATGCTAAAGTCATCTCTCCTATAACTGCTTCAATCACAACTCCTCTTCCTTGATTAACTTAACTGGCTTACTGTCTTCTACCATGTCAGATTCAACCTCGCCATCCTTACTGCTGAGGCCCTGTATGGTCCTTTTCCCACTTACATCCATAGGTGCTGGAACTACAGGTGCTGGGGGTGCTGCTGCATCTCCTGGCTTGAAGTGGTTTCCATCATATACAGGGTTTACAGTTTGGTTCACTGGCTCTCAGCACCCCCACTGTACAAATTGTCCCAGCACCCCTGCTTACAGCTCTGATCTTTTCTCCTCCTACTCTTTTTACTCTGTTTCACCCAGTCTTCCTCCTATAGTACATTGGGGAGAGAGGGCAGCAGTCTCTTGAGCAGCTGTAGATAGTGAAAAGCACTGCGAATCACCACTGCCATCTGTGAATTCAGAAACATTGATGTATTAATATCACCTTAAGGTACTCTTATCTAATCAGTTTAACGATCTCAGGTCTTTATAGATTATCGTCATAATATTCCAGAAACCAAAAAAACCCTCTTCTCATTCTAAGTACTTCGTGTATAAGCAGTAAAAAGTTTTGTCTCTGAACTTTAAATTGTGATTAACATAACATGGCTGTGCTTGGTCCTCTTTTTGGCCAAGTGAAGCAAGGACCTACACTCAAATTGATAGCAATTTTTGGTCTGTCTGTATGGTGGTAACTTTTGAAAACCACATCTGGTCAATTCCAAAATTTCAAGGGAATAGTCAAGACTTCAATGGACAGAATGGTGTAGGCATCAGTTGGTAAAAATTGGAAAACTAAAAAATCCTGATTTCCACTGAAATCACCATTTGGTCATTCAGAATACAAGGGTGAGGGAGTGACCTAACAAAGATCTGTGGGAGGGGAGCAGAGTCACTCTGGGTACAAAGATGAGGAGCTGACCTCATTGGCCTAAGGGAGGGCAGCAGGGTCATGCTGGATATAAGGGTGAGGGAGTGACCTCAGGGTTAGAGTTTAGGGTGAGAATAGGATTAGTGGGCCCCTCACCCCCTTCCAGCCCAGCCCCTTCTTTCAGCTGAATTCCTCACCCCCAACTCTGGTCAGACCCCACATTAGGGCCTTTAATCTCCATTCTGGTTAGGTCCTATTGCAGCCAGGCTCCCTGCCCATCCACTCTGGTCTCTCTTAATTTGAGAGAAAATTGGGAAAACTGAAAAAGCCTGATTTTAGGGTTTAGGATGAGGGGTAGGTTGGGGCTAGGGAACAGGGGATATTGTTAGGGCACCAGAGAGCTTTCTTTGCCAGCAGCACTAAATGGGCACTCTGTGGTCCCAATTTTAGTGGAACTCAGGCTGCTAGAAGCTTCTCTGGGCCCCTCAAGAGGGCCTCTCAGGCCCATTCTGGCCAGGTGTGCTCCTACTCTACCAGCCTTCCACTCCAGACAGGCCCTCCCCCACACACTCTGATCAGAACTCTATTGATTTCGGTGAAAACTGGAAATCCAGAAAAGCCTGATTTTCACTAAAATCCAGATTTCCAGTTTTCACCAAAATCAACAGAGTTCAGACAAGAATGGGGGGCCCTGGAGCCCTGCCATAGTAGGACAGGGTCTTGGCTGAGTTTACGGATTGGCCTACATAAACAATGAAGTGTGCAACCCTCTAATATTATCAAACCTTTTAGTTTTGAAAACTAATTTTATTTGAGGTGAATGACTACTTTATACTTATCAGACACTATTTTGTAGCCTTAATATACTTGGGGCTTGTTGTCTCAATTAATTAAAGCCCTTTCCTATGTCATATCACAGAAGAAAATAATTACATTTGTTTAGGTTCGTAACTATCAGTAGCTGTTTATAATGGGGTTTTTCAAAGATAGTAGTATACATGATTCTTCTTACGTTCCAATTTAAAACTCAGTGACTTTATCAGCAGTCTAACAACATGATAGCAATGTCAGGAACAGTACAATGCTGTACACTTACCAGGGAAAGGCAGTCACAGTTCTTTTCTCTTACTGTTTAACTGATGCAGATGCACTTTAGTTCTAAACATTTTTTTTTCTAAAGACCCAATCCTGTTAGGCTGAATTCAAAGCAATTGAGGATGTTGAGCACTTAGCAAGATCAGGCCCTAAATTAGCTACATTTTCACTGACGAATCATGTGTTTTCATTGTACTCTAGACCAGGGGTTCTCAACCTTTTTCTTTCTGAAGCCCCCCCAACATGCTATAAAAACTCCATGGCCCACCTGTGCCACAATAACTGGTTTTCTGCATATAATAGCCAGGGCTGGCGGTAGAGGTTAGGTAGCAAGCAGGGGGGTACACTGATGTAAAATCCATTGATTTTAGTGCAAATTTTAGGTGCACAGAGAATGCAGGATCAGGCACTAAAAGTGCAACCTGACTTGAAGGAGTGTCACATTTTTACTTTATCTAGGAAAAATAAATTTTAGAACAAACTTTATTCATTAACTCAAAAAGGAGATTATTTTTAGTACTTCAGTTTAAT